TTTGCAGGAAGAAAAAGTGAATGCTGTCAAAACTCCTGTAAATCAGTTCCCTCCTAACTCATAGTATGAGAAGGGTGCTCTTGCAGCCTGCACTGTGGATGAGTGTAAGGTGGAAGCGAAGGCTGTAAGACAGACGTCTGCTTCGCTTTTGGGCAGTTGTGTCCGGGTCGCTTCGTTGTCTACGCAGCCCATGATGCACCCACTGTCTTGCTCACTCCTGGAGCTCCTCACTCTGTCTCTATTACTTCCCAATGCCTAACTTCTTTTTCCAGCCTGGGGACCATCAGTTTCCACACGGAGAGCTTTAAACGCATAGTTGTCCTTCTCTGTTTTGTCCACTGTCCCAAATTACTGAACAGAACTGGATTCAGATATGACATTTCAAACAGCTGATGTCTGTAAGCACCTCAACCAAGGACTCGGGATAAAGGGAGAGAATCGTTTAAAATGTTCTGTGCCCGTATTCTACTAAAGGGTTGTAAGAGAGGAAGGAATGTTAATCTTTTCAGAAGTGTTTTCAGGTTACAGGAAAGGCGAAGTGGGGAGATATTTCTAAGCAGCCCTAAAATATTCAGAAGCAGTCAGATCTTTTGCCTACATCTGCCACTTATCCTTAACAAAAGACCTGTTCATGCAGCTGTAAGTGGAAATTTCAGATACCCTTTTAACTGGAGTCCATGTGTGATACAAATTAATCTTCAGAGGTCACTGTTTATATAAAATCGTTTGCAGAGTGGAGACAATTTAAGCATCCAGTGACAGACCACTGATTAAAGAAATTGTATTCAATATATTATATAGTGGAATACTAATTATTTTTAAAATGGCATAAGAGCAAAAATCCTTAAATTGTGCAAAGATGGCCATGATATATTGTTACATGAGGGATTATAACTAGAATGTATCATTTTATTTCATTTTGTGAAAAATAAATTGTTTTATCCTTACATGGTTATCTTTATATGATTCATTAATGGTAGGTATTTTACATGGGGAGGGTTATTGGAAATCTTGGTTTTTCCTTTTGCATACATAACTTTGTACATTTTCTACAATAGATTTTAGTTTTGTAATGAAAAAAAGTATTTTTAGTTATGAGACAAAGATGTCATGGAGGTTTGTTTCCTGCATAATTCTGAGCGGCTCTTAATTGCTTTGTCTCTGGAGCACAAAGTCTCTTACACACAAAGCTCATAACAGAGAGGAAATTAGGAAGCACTTCTAGTTTAGGGACTTGTACTGTGCTATGGGGACAGTTAAAGGGCAGCTACATGAGTGTGCTCCCTCAGGTCATAGCAAATAAAACCACCTGGAGGGTAAGAATGGGGAAATAAGTAAATCAAAGGCCTAGAACTAATCTCTTTTCTCTTTTTGTCTTCTTTAAGTAATTACAGACATTTCCCTTTGTGTGGCCAAGGGATGAGTTGATCCTTGCTGATATTCCTAGATAAATGAGGTTAATGTAAGAAGCAGGTCAAGGAAGGAACAATAAATACTTACTCCATGAATGTTTTCTATTGAGATAATTGCTGGTGTACTGCTGTAACTTTTCAGAAAGAACAAAGTGAGCCTTCATGTAATTTCTGGAAATGACTCACAAATATAGAACTTCTAGCCATAATAAGATTCCCAAGAGCATACCTGGAAAAAGAATGACTTTTTGCTCAGTAAGAGCTTTGCTCATGTTTAAGTAAGCGCTGAGACCCCCAGACAATAACTGGTACTATAAATAGAGGACAGTCACTGGGCTTCAGAGCTGGTATGGCTTTCAGAGATCTTTTACCCAAACTGGGGGAGATGGAGTCTTCCCACAAGTTCTGTACCTACTGCCATATGGATTGTGGTCTTCCTACCACTCTTCACATAAATGCAAAAGGGAGTAACATTCATTTCTCTCAGCTTAAGCTCTGTTCCTCACTGTGTTCTCATAATGCCCTTTGCATTCGTATCCCGACTGTGACTATATATGCTTCATAGAAAGAGTGGGAGTAGAAAATGCATTCTGAACTCTGACTAGATCACGTGCTCCAGGATACTAAACACGCTGCTCTCAGTGGCTTTTGTTCCCTTAAAATTAAATACAAGAAATGAGTTATTTCAGCTATAAAGCTTTAAGTTTATTTTCTGAGAGGATTTCCATGATTAATTAAAAGATGATAAATGTAGATGGAGTGGGAAAGGGCCCTATGGGACAGGTTAGGGAGTGTTCATATACTCCAGCTGTACTGACTTCTAAGTCTTCCACTTTTGAGGAAGAACTGGAGACACAGGGCTCAGGCAATTGCAAGGTTCTGCTTAGTCACTTGGCACCATTGGCCTGCACCACCTCACGGGTCTCTCCTGTGAGTTCTTTCCTTGTAACTCCACTGGGTGTGATATGTAGAGTGTCCAAGATCATCTAACATTTTGTTGGACTTCGTCAGTCCCTCTATTTCCTGGCTGAGTTATGTAACATGATTCCACATGGGAAAGCCCAGCTGCTAAAGTTTTGGAATCGGGAATAAGAACACATTTTTATTAGATCTTTCATCTTGTCCAGTGTTTAAATAATGATACACAACATGCTAGCTCTTCCAATATAATTCATCCCTTGTGTGTGCTCTTGGGAGAATGCCCTTTCTGTACTTTTGGGGCTCCAAAGGGGCCTTATCAGACTAAATATGAAATCAAGGCGTGAGATAGTGTCTCCATGGGTGAGTTTAAACTCATACACCTGGGGTGGGCATCTCAGAGGTAGAATAAAGCTAGACTGTAGCTTGGTTGTAAAGAGAGGGGGACATAAGAATTTAGATTAGAAACTCTTGAGATGAAGGCAGGCGGTACTGTTTATAAAAATAGTGAAGCCAGAAGAAGGAGGTTTAGAACATAGATGAATTGCTCGGCACAATTTAAGTTTGAACTGCTGCTGGCAGGAAATCCAGGTTGAAGAGAAATCTATGACAACTTTGTAATGTGTGAACTTGACAGGCTGGCCTGCATTTCCTAGAATTGCCTTCCCTGTAAGGGTCTGGTCAGCATGGACCACAGGAAAGCATCCTAGTGAGTGAAGTTTGTTGAGTAGCGGTGAAGAGCAGCATTTTATAGCTTGTATGTAAAATTGTGGTTCTGCTGATGAATCTTGGTTAGCTCGAGGTGGCTGATGAAGTTTCACTAGCTCTGCTTTCCTTGGGATCCTACAGTAAGGGTCCTGGGCCAGATGTAGGGCATTGGCTTTATTCTGAAGGATGCCCACAGTATCAAGATCAGAACAGGTTTTGGTCTATCTTTTCCTTCTTTAAAAGTTATCCGGTGAATTTCAGCTCCAAAGAGACAGACAGCAGCTGCCCAGACTGTACCAGTTTCCAGTTGTGTAAGGTCAAATCCTTCGCATGAGTCAGTCAGCATTTTCTGTGGCACAAAGCCCTGTGTGCCTTGGCTCACCTAATCCTTCCAACTCATGCTATTCTTTGCCTCACCCAGTGTACTTATTCTTCCTGTTAGTTTTCCATCAATTTCCCCATCAGTTAAATCCCAGCTGTTCCCTGACTCTGGGTCTTAGAATACACTGACTTCTGCTCCTGATCATCTGTTACTAGGTCTTAGCCTAACCCTCAACTCATGGGCTGAACTTCTCTGATCATCCCACATAATCATTCTTCAGTTTTGTTTCTTGAATTCATACTAGAAATTGTACCCTGACCTAGCACTGTCTGGCACATGCCAGTTCTCAAACCAAAGGACTCATCTAAGAAAGGAATGGAGGATATCGATGACTCTTCCTGATGAGTCAGAAATGCAACTCATTTTCCATTCTTTGGAGGGCCAAATGATTGTTCTGAAATTTCTGTCCTTCACGGCAGGTCAAACTAATTGCATACAGATTCAGACTCTATTCTATCTCAAGTTCTATGTCAAATCTCTGTTATGTGTTAACAGATTCAATCAGACTTCTTTGAAGATAGCTGTGATGAAAATAGTGAAAAAATAGTCAACGAGCACTGTGCATTTAGAATTGTCACTTTGGTCTTTGACTCACGTAGAAGTAAAAACTGTGACCTGTTAATGAAGACTGGAATATTAACAAAACTAAGTTTTCAGAAAACATGTCCAACTTTATTACCCCATATTTGTGTTCTACAGCTCTTGTAACTTCACATTGGAAAGGTAAAAAATATTGTTTTACAAATCAGTCTTCTCATCATTTCCTAAGATTTACTAGAGATAATGGCTAGGTAGAACTTTAATTAAAAAAGCAACCAAAGATGAGCTATTTCTATCAAAATGTAAAGGAAAACTCCACCTCTTGCTTTTCTGAAGCCCTACTAAATACTGTAGAGATACTCTCAGAATTTTCATAATTTCCAAGGTCAAATCTCCTGTTACCTTGAGGATCACTTTAACAATTGGAAGGTAGATTCTTTTTTTGATATTGAATTCTTGGAATCCTGTATGCCTTAAGTATTTCCTTATTTTCTTTTGGAACAGTTTTAATATTTTTGCACATTAATTTTTTTAGAATTTAGCCTACAGTGACAAATTGATCAAAAATGCTCTCAAAGTGGCTGATATGTTCCAAATTTTGGCACTTTGGAAACAAGTCCTAGGTCCTTACACATTCATTCCTAGGCTATATCCCTTATAAAATAATGTCCCAACAGTGGTGTCTGGATATTATAGTTCCTGTGTTGTCATCCTCAATAAGGTGGATGAAGTTGATTTACCCTTATTTCCAGTATGTACATTTTTTACTTTTTCTCCCCTTGAAAATTGTTTTGGTCAAGGATATTAACATAAACCCTCTGAAGTGAAAACAGAGTTTGCTTTCTTGAATGTGAAGTTCAGTGGTCTACAAAGTAAAGCCAATGTGGGTTCTTTTAACTTAAACTAGAGATCAGTTTACTGATTTTTCTAGGAAGTCTTCTATCAGTGGGTAGCTACAGTGGAGTGATGAGGAAGGTCTAACTACACACTGAAGGGAACTAAGAGACTGTTCACATCTGAATTTTTTTTTTTTTTTTTAGTTTACATTAACTAAATAACAAAGTTGTAATTTATTATGTTAGGGAAAATCTTTCCAGTAAGAGATCTAACAAAGGTTTGTGTTGATTCAATTCTGGGAAGGTTATCAGTAGGAAGACAATGTTTCTCAAACCAAGGCACAAGCTTTTTCAGATTTTGTAATAAAAATAAACTAGCTAACTTATTTGACTGATGGACACGCTTCTCACAGGTTTTGCACAGAAAATGATAGCTATATGCAGAATATTTAAATAGCTAAAAGCTCACAGTGGAGAACAAGGTATAAATTGTCAATAATTAAAATTGTCACTTTCATTCTAAATTCAATTTTAATTAACTCTCAGGGAACTAAAGATTGCAAATCCAAAGCAAACCAGTGAGTCATCAGGTTTTTGGAAGAAAAATATGATAGATTCAACAGTTTAAGCAATGCCAGCACCCCCAAGCAACTTGACCAACCTGAAGTTAAAATGCAAAGGAACAGAAAATTTCTCTATTCTCACCTTACTAAAAAGAATTTCAAATTTTTAACATGTGAAAACTGCTTTCACTTATCTGGCAATAAGACAAAAATAAGAGGTTCTTGAGAGTTCACTTTGCTTTATTATACACCAGACATAGGAACTAATCAAGAGTAGGATCATTATCTCTATACTCTTAAGGAAATGTGTTTCCATCTCCTCCTCCGATATTGGAGTGGGATTTCATAACATTTTGGGGTTAATTTGGGGCCAAATGAAACCACTGAAAGGCAGTGTATAAATAACAATTATGAATCTTTTTCAGAAGTTGGCAGTGACTTCTGATTAGGAATGGCGAGGCTGTGTAGTATTCACAAGGCTGATTAGCAGTCAACTGTGTACTCTAACTTGTGACCAGATGGCACCAAACTGGAGAGTGGTTCCTGACAATCATTCACTCTTGCTGTCAGCTTGCTGGGATCCAGTAGCTTCTCAAAGGCTGCGAAAAAAGCATAAGTCTTTGCTAATTGAAGACATTTCCTGTGCACACAGGAAACGCAGAGGGGATCCCCGTGCCTCTCGTGCAGTGTGTGCCGACCCCCAGGCTGCTCTGGGTGTAGAGCAGGAGCTAATCAAGAGACAGGCTGGGCGCTGCCCCAGCTCATGTGCCACCCAGGCCAGGCTTGGGCCACATGGCACTGTGTGCCGACTCCAAAGTGGGGCGGGCAGGGAGAGGCTCAGCCTTGTCTGCACTCGACAGCCAGGGACTGTTTTCTGCCGGGAGGAATTTCATGTTAGTCAGGATGAAAAACACACTCTACTTCTATTCTGAGGTAGGCAGTAGCAGGAATAAGACGTAAGACCCTCTGGGATCTATCCTTGGTCCACCCTTTTGGCTTCTGCCTTAACCTGCTGCCAGGGGCACAAGCTTGGTGGTGGTAATGCTTAGCACTGTTTTTGCACAGTGCTCAAGTTCAGCATACCCACTGCTCTCTCAGCAGTGAGTTCCCACCCAGGTGGAACTGTTTCCCTTCTTTATTCTCTGGTAGGATTCTGGGGTTATCTCAGTAATCACTGACACAACACTGTAGTGTGTACACATAACTTTGTCTCCATCAACCATTATGCCTACAAGGAAGAAACTGTGTGTTTGTGTATGTATGTTCAGGAATATACCACATGCATTCTGTAAATGCCTCTTGAAAGAAATATAAATATCTTATTTACAAGGTTACGCTTTTTTACAAAAGGAGAGTTCATTTTTGACTTTGTATACTTGGAGAATTCAATCCTGTATTTTTCCTCAGGTATAACTAATCACCTTAAGATGCCGATGTTTATTACGAATTACTACTACTATTCCGATTTGATCAAGAGCGCCGGACAGTGTGTGGCATTAACAGGACGCTGGCAGCCACTGTGGCCTCTGACTGACCATGTTAGGAATGGAAAGAAGACAGGGCCCCATTGCTGGCACAGATGAAGCCCACCAGAGCTAAACAGCAGCACAAACAAACCGCAGAGAGGAGGCTTCCTCACTGGAAGCTGGTGTTCATCCTCCCTCAAGTCCTGGGGCGAATCTACACGAACTCAGAGGCAGGCAGGCAAAGCTCAGACGCTTAAATTGATCCCACTCCCGCTCCCATCATGAGAGGAGTATCTGAATATTCTGTGGGCTTTAAACCACCTACACTGCTATTTGGGTTAAAGCACAGAATTTAGGCATAACTCTCCAGGAAAAAAACAAACACAAAAAACTGAAGAAAGTGGCAACTGCTCGTCTTCAGTCTGTTTACCTGAGTACACGCTACAGATAACAAGAGGCGGATGAATCTTCCATTAGCCTAATTAACCCAAGTTGTTTGTATGTCAGGCCAGTTGTAACCCGAGGATCCACTGTATACATGTGTTACCATACATTTTTGAGAGAAATGATTTCTTCCTTTCCTTCCTATCTACCTTCTCTGAGATGCCAAATTAAAGGGATGTCCTAGCATGGGTTCTTTAGATTCCCCTCCCGGCAGGTTTGAATTAGCATATAGGAGAAGAGCTGCCAAAGCTTCGGGGACGTCTAGTAAGAAGCAGGGCTGGAGGACAGATGGCTGCTCAGACCGGTGACCACCTGCATGGAAAGCTGACAGGAGTCCTATTTTTGGGATACTCTGAAAACCCTCATCCTGATGTATAACTTCTGAGCAGCGCAGTGCAGGAATGACTGTCATGCTGTTTCCCTGTCCAAAGTAAAGTACACCACTTTTTAGTTGCCATACACATGACAAAAATGTACGATGAACACACTGATAGACAACAACAGCTTTTTTTGGGGAAAAAAATGCTTAACTAGATGTTTTCTAGAATCTACCCTAAGTTGTTGAAGAAGTTGGAAAAATTGGTGGCTTCCAATTCTGTACTTTCTACAAAAACTGCTGATAGATTAAAAATAATTTTTAAAGAATTTTCTTTAAAGAGAACATTTCTTCTTTTTACCTTTATAAGAACTTTAATAACTGAGAACAATAATATGTGGTAAATACTACGTGTAATGTTTTAATTTTTAGCTAAGATTTAATTTCCTCTCAGCTTTGAAACAGTAACTCAATTTCAGTTCAATCTGAAGAAATGTTAATTATAAACTTCTAACAACTCTATGCAAAGGTCCGAGGTCAGGTTCTCCGGATTCCCTGTCTACACGAGAAGCTGCAGGGCCTGAGATGTGCGTGCCACAGCACACGGACCGAGACAGGCTCGGCACCCAAAGTCACGTGCGGGTCCAGGTCACGGCGACCACATGAACTAGTGTTAAAGTGCTCCAGTAAAAAATAAAACAGATATTTAGTAAGTGTTGTAATTTGAGGACTTGACATTATGAAGAATGAAAACCAAGCCTAAGATTGGTGTTACAGTTGTTCGCTTCTCCTCCATTCCGAGAATGCTGTCCTCGGAGAGTGACAACTGACCACTCAGCTTCGCACTCATAACCTGTGTCCGACTTGGCCGGAGACCTCGGGGCTGTGACGCCAGCCGGCTGTCTCAACGCTCCTCTGGGAATCGAACGCCTCTCACTCGAATTCCAGTCAGAGCTCCCTGTCTTCCTCCACAAGCTTGTTACAGATATTTCCGTCGCCTGTAATAAACTACAGAATCTGCGAAGAGTACAGCTACTCTGGTTAATGATCAAAGCGGTGTGGCCAGAAGGAAAGCACTGCTAAGTATGAATACAATCTTTATCAATGCAAAACGAAGCCATTTTTTTCTTAATAGAAAAGCTAATCCAAAAAAGTTCAGTCTATAAAGATTCCAAATCACAATGAAAGGGACTTGAAGAATTTACTGATTTTTTCACTGTGTGACTTAGATACCTTACTAAAAACCAGGATCTGACATGACAATAACATTTGCAGAAGGTCATATTGTAGTGACAGCACTGAGGTTAACTGTTAAGACTACTGAACTCCTTTCATATTAAATGCTTACATCTTAATTATTTATATAGAAAGAACATTGGTCCACTAACATAAAAATAGAGAACAGCGACTAGAAATTTATCTCACTCTGTGTTCAGAGATAAAAGGGTTAACCATGCTGTCCATTATTTCCTGCAAGTGGTCCTGTTCATGCTGAAATCAGCTGGCAGTCGAATTCTGTCATTTCCTGAGCTACTGCATGAAGAGGATGCTGAAGGCCATCACGATACAGCACACTGCAACATACGGACTCTTTCGCTCACCTGTGGACGAGAGGATATTTATCTCGACTAAGGAGTGGCTACCAGGGATGATAAGGTTACTGTGGATAGGGAAACACACAATCAGGGCAAAGGTCTTGTCTATGAGGCCCACACAATTGGGGCGAGGAGTGAAATAAAGAACTAGATGCAAGCAAAAAACATGCTCACAACAGAATGGACTAAACTATACTGACTTACCCTTATTCTTTCAATTTTCTTAAAAAAATTCATCAAGTATACTGATTGTCCCGAGACCACCTCCACAAGGGCCACTGGGTTAAACCAGGCATTAAAAATATGCAAAGCAGCATGCAGATCAGTGATCCAAGGAAAAGCGTCTCCAATAACTCAAAGCCAAAAAGAGAGTTTATCCTCTTCCCATAAAAAAGAAGCTTCTACTTGGACAAAATAATCCATCATGCAATACTTAGCCACAATTTTTCAACCCTTGTACCATTTAGGTCACTTAGAAGCATGGACAAACAGGCAAGATGGTCAATAAAACTATGCTTAAAAACGGACACAAAATACGATGCTTAATGAACACTAGGAAAAACTACTTCTGAGTTATAGTATTAAGTCATCTATACACTGAATACTCTTACCCAAAGTACTTGGCATAAGTATTTCAGATTTCAAAGTTTTTCAGATTTTGGAATATTTACATAGAATTACTGGTTGAGCTTCCTTAATCAGAAAATCTGAAATCTTTCAAAATCTGAAACTTTTTGAGTGTCACATTCATACTTCCTCATCCTCTGACTTAGAAGGCCATAATTTACATATGGGTTTCATTTTCCTGTTTTGAATTGTCTGAAAAGCCACTGCCATGTGGCAAAGCCAAACATCTGAAGTTGAACTTGGGTAAGAACGTTGTTTTTCATCAGGCCCTTGGTCTGTGTGAGTGGATGTGAAAACAACTGCTGTGATCTGATGTGTAACATGGTAAGACGATCTGGCTGGGTCACTCCCATGAACACTGAATCCTTTCTCTGTGGATATACTGTGTGTCAAGAAAAAAGGGGAATGTGTGCTTCACAGAGCGGTGTACCAGCAGCAACGTTTTCTAAGCTATTTTGCCAAAAAGCTAATGCAGTTATATAATTGGCAGAGCGAACCCTTTAATGGAACCATTCAACCTAGGATATTCAGTCAAAGAGAAAAATGGGAATAAGCAGGAAGTAAGCAACAGACAAAAAGCAAACAACAACACAAAATCAAATTAAAACAAAAAATCCAGATAAACATAATATTTATACCTAACAAAACAAAACACCAGATCATTTTATAGGATATCACTAACATATCTACAAACTAGACGTCTCAAACTTTTCTTCAAGTAGTAATTATGAACAAAAAGGCTCACTTGGGTTGGCTACTAAATGGAACCGTATATGCACTAATTCATTAAATAAAATGGATTTAAAATACATTACTATTTCCCTTAACAATAGGCAACTCAACGATATCACTGAGACGGAAACTAAACCTCTTGGTTCCAGATCTGCTGTTACCTTCTTCATGGTTTACCTGTGGTATTCTTCACCCTTGTGTTCTGTTCTTTCTTAGGGGGTGACCTGCCTCTGCAAGAGTAGTTTAAATGCCATATTTATACTTACCATCAGCTGCCGGCATTAGCTAGCTAGGACGCTCTCTCTGTCTGTCTTTTCCCATTCTTTATGAAGTGATGAAGGCTTCTGTGATTTCCAGGTTTGCAGCTGTTGTGCATGAGCAAGCCCTACCTAAGTCCCTGCCACAGATCTCTGTACATTCAGGCCAGGCCTCCTTGGCTACAGACACGACTGACACCTTGCCTTGGAGGACTATTGTGAGGCTGCTCTGAGCACCCTGGGGTGCTTAGCAACACCCCTGACCCAAGCCTACATGCGCTCCCAACTCTAGTTCTGACAATCAGAACTTTCTTTAGACTCTCACCAATGTCCTCAGATTAATGACGACTTATGTAGGCTATGCCTGTGCTTTCGCTAATTTAAGGGCAACAATACTTCTTGGAAAACAAAGATTCTCATGCCTGTCTCTGTAATAGGGAATAAAGAATGGTAGACAAAACAGACCAAAGGCAATGTAACATTTCTGAAGCACACTGAAATCTCTGGGAGAGAATGTCTCCTTTCAGCTGAGATTGGGTTTGTGCTAATATGACAGAAGGGAACTGGTGGACACTTTACAGATGGAAAAATGGAGGGAGACTAGGGACACTTACCAATTCTGGCACACTTCCAAAATATTCCCAATAGTCTGCAAAGAATGAAAAAGGAAAAAAGTAGCTATTGATCACTGAAAAAGGTATATCTTTATGTCAGTAGTACACAGAAAATTAATTGTACACTGCCATTTTAACTCTTAATACTTTGCTTCAAAATTTAAACCTCCTTGTTTCATGTTGAACCATGCATGAAAGTAAGACACGAGTACATCAAGTACTGATAACTGGAATATATGTGGCACCATAGGTCAGAAGCAGGTTAAAGTGAGCAGCAAAATTCTTCTCAAAGGTTTACTGTGTTAATTTAGTCAATTTCAATTGCTTTTCTACCTTCAAAAGCAGAAAGTTTACAAGCTACCTTTTTTTAAATGTTAATTTTGAAAAAAGACAATGAACAGATTTGGATGACTTGTGGGATCATAGTAAAAATTCCTTTCTGTGTGTATCTATATATTCAAATCATCTATAATTATGAATTGCAATGATAGTACTGTATTTATTTGTCACTCAGCTAAAACAAAAATATGGGGCTATTTTATTAATATAAGTTTCCTAGTTTAGGAGAAACTAAGTATAAGTTTACTAAACAGGATATTTAAAAACATTTTCCAGAGAAAACAAGAATGAAGATATTCCTTTTAATTCTATGAATGATTATAGTTAGAATTAAATATATAAAAAGAGGTATTCATTTATTTGAAATGTATATAAATCAATTGCATGGAAAAAACCACCTCGGTCATCAATGAACTGAGATATCTAAAAATATAAAAAATACTGTAGATATTATTTTATTGGCTTAACAAGAGACTAGAATTGTAGGTTTTACGTGATTATAAATTCAGATAAGTCAACATTCTCTGTTGCTTATATTAGGATTGGCTCAACAAAATCATACACTTACTGTTCAAGAAAATTTATATTAACATCGCCACCCTCCAAGAAATGTTTGGCTAATGAATTATTATACCAGAATAGTTAGATCTAAAGGAAAATACCTATTTAATTAAGATCTTTATATATTCTTCAGTTCAGGTTAAATGGAATGAACAAAACCAAGCTTATTTCAAAGTATACACATTCTATTCTGGGAGGCAAAATAATTTTACTATACGAACAAAACGACTACAGGCAAACACATTTCAGAGACTGACATAAGCTAACATAATGGCCAGATAATGCTTTAAGTTCAGTCTTTTATCTCTTTAAAAATAGCATCCACCCTCAAGGAGGAAGAATACAAGAGTGATTATATGTGGAGTCTGTCCTGGTCTAATATTCTAGAAATGACCAAATATCGTCAGGAAACTGGCACAACGGAGTATTAAAAAGTTTTAAAGGAATTAAAAATCCTAACTTGGCAACTCAGGGACTGACCAGTACCATGTTAATTTTTGTGATATAAATAGGGAACAGAAGGACAGAGGAACAGAGTCTGTAAAAATTTATATAGAACACTAATGTGCAAATCAAAATAAAATGGTGCTTAACATTTATAAGTAGAAACAGTTTAAAAATGCTTTCAACAGTTGACTATTAATGTATAGCTTAAAATGTCTACATAGGCATCCTTTTTATGTAGGAGAAATATACTACCACGCAACCTCTACTGTAAGGCTGGCAGCCCTGAGAACTCCTGTGTTAATGTAGCATGTTATGGATGCATTTCTACCCCAAAGCAAGGAGGGGCAGACACGTCCACATGCAACTTGCACTCCTTCTGGAGGAAAAGTTGATTAATAGCATTGGAAAAGTACAAATATTCTAGTCTACTACTATGGAACATCCTTTAGTGACATACATTCTTGAGGAATTTATTATATAGATAAATTCTAAACAACTGTTCAATGAGAATAAAGAATTGAAGAATAAATATAACGGGACTTGAGAGAAAAAGGGCTAGAGAAGACAATGTCTACACAGGTTGGGTTTAGTTGTATAACTGACGGACAATGTTTTTACTTGCAGTGGGTTAACAAAATCCATCAATATGCATATTTTCAATATGTTAAATTTCTGATAATTTCTGAAACTTATTTTTTAATTTAGTAAGACATTGTAAATATAAAGTTTTTGGGTTTTAAAAAACAGGGAGCAAGTCATGTAAAAAAGCCACTGCCACCTGAATTACAGATAGGATTAAATTCTCTAATGACTTTCGCAGTGATTTAATGTCTACAGAAACTTATTTGGGTGATCAGACGTTACGAGTAACATACCCAGTTTTATTTTTGTCCAGAAGGCTGGGTGCCAGGGATCGGATATAAGCACAGGTACATATAAGCAGCAAGATTACAGTCAACAGACTCTGAAAATTGAAAATGGCAGACTAAAAAGAGAAAAAAAAAATTAATATCACATGAAAACTTCCTAGATAAAATAATGCCACACAATTCCATATTAAGAATCATGCTTTTACTTCTCCAAAATAGCAAACAGAATGACATGTCCATCTACCCTTAAAACCAAAACAATGCAGTGCTCTAAAGGGGAACTTTTCTCTTCACTCTTTGGGCCAAGGAAAAGAGGAGATGCAACAGAAAATATAAATTCAAGAACTTGAAAATGTCACAAATTCAAAATAGCTCAGCAAAGCTGAGTCAGTTGTGTCCTGGAGGCGGATGTCTGGGAGCAGAGCAATCTCCAGCAGGAGGCCTAACCATGGGCCTCTGTTTTACATCTGTGGAGACTTGGAGAAAGTTGCAATGGTGACTAAAGTTTCTTTTAAGTTTGAACTTTTCTGGGATAAGTATGCTTTCAATTTAAGAGATCATGTTCCACGCCCTGACCAATACTAGACTATTAGACACTGCTGGAAGAAAAGCACCTGCTTTCGTTTTTCACTGTTAACTTTTCAGAGTTCTTCCTCCTTTAATAGTTCACCTCCTATTCTAAAAGTTAACACAGGAGTCATACGAAAGCCTAGGTTTCCAGTCAAACACAGAAAAGCATGGCTTCTGTCACAAGCCAGTGGAGGCAGGCAGGTGCACCTTCTTCAAAATCAGCTCAGCCATCACCTCTTCCAAAGGCTCCTTGAATCCATCTGGCTCTCCTTTCTTAATTCATACAAACTCTTCCTTTCCTCTTCCTACAGCAAACTGACACTCTACCAATAATCTCTGAAGGGTACACAGTGCAGTATCAACTCTCAGTCAGTAAGCACCTGATAATCAGCACAGTCCAAAGAAGAGACACTTGAATAGATGAAACAATCTAAAGAAAGTGCAGGAATACTACTGTTTACAATAAAGGGTAACATTTCCAGCATATGCAGGCAGATCAAATAGGTCAAACTTACATAGTAGCTAGCAGTATGCCTATTTAATGAACTTAGAAGTACTTCCTAAAAAATCAGAAATAAGGCGAAGAATGAAACTTTTTTAAAAATTTAAAAGACCAAATCATTTCTTGCAAAAGAGTGCTCACCTGAAAAGCTCCCAAAGGATCAGAGACTTTTAGGGAATTGAATGAGGTAGCTGGGTACATAAGTGGAACATACATCAATGTTCCTAATTATGCTATTGCTCAGACTGGTAGAGAGACATAGGAGACAGACTACACTTACGGTAGGAACCAGAATGAAATCCGTGCAGCATGAGCCTCAGGGAAAAGACTGACAGAAGCCTGAAGTGCCCACACACAAGAACACCGGCCACGCCAGGCTCTGTTCCTGGAAGGTTGTGTGACTAGACATTTAAAGTGAATCCCTGCTCATTAGCTTAACTGAAAAAATAAGCAAAAGCAGCAAGGAGAATCTTAAGAACTAGCTCTGTCAAAAGTCGTTAAATATCCTTTTTAACCTTTTCCATATTATTATAATAATTATATACAAGCAAATGGAAAAATGTAAAATGTTACTTATTAACATTATTTCTAACAAAAGTTTATGTACAAACTTAAATGACAGAAAAAAACGATTTCACACACAGCAAATTTTAGCTATGTAAACCTTTATGCAAAAATGGGTGATTATCTCTGGATAGTTTCTAATCCTCAACTTGTCTGGAGTTCTTAATATTCCTAGGTCTCATTTTTATGGTCTAAAAATGATAAAAATGATCTTTAATTATAATTTTAATACTTGCTTTTCTATGCAAATAATTTCTTCATGGATATTGCAATGGTAAAGTTCAACATATCTTGGTTTGTAATTAAATTGGGTTTTAATTGTGGGTCCATGAAAACAAGGGTTAACTACTGATCAGTTCTAGATGGAAAACAACAGTATCTCACAATGCTTATCTTTCAAAGGTCATGGAAACAGTGTTAGATAAACTTCATGAAATACGAAGCAAATTTCCTTGAAGGCACCATGACTAAATGTGTAGCATGCACTGTCTGGGGGAATGAGTCTAGATACTGGAATCTAAAAAGGTGTTTGGCACGATTCCTCCACGACATGAGTTTACAGGTAAAAAGAATTACTGATAGCCACCGACTCTTTGTTTTGCACTATTTAACTGCACATGTGAGGTAGACATTGTTGGTATCCTGATACTGCAGAGGAGGCTCCACGATGAGACAGAATCATGGGGGGAAAATGTCCACAGAAGAAAGGATCTGGATGTTCAAGGAATAATGGACAGACTTGCTGTATTAAGCAAGAGGTTCCTATAGTAAATATGCTTAGGAAAAAACTTGCAAAGGGTATTTACTGCCTTCCTAATGGAGCATCTGTGATTTGCACCTATTCTCTTTCCTTGCCCATTTAAATACTGGCTTCTCAGAGTGTGTGTGGTGGGAGGGTTACGGCTGGAGGAATCTGAGCACATGAAGGCTCACCGTACCCCTTTCTACCTCTTCACATTTGAAACTTTTCAAAATCAAAGATAAAAAGGCACCTAAATACACATCTATTATTAAAGCGGAGTGTACATGTATACATTTGTGTCTGAAACCATTTACAAGTGAAAACCATTTTCATGTATGAAATGTATGATATATACAAGTTTGTCCTGGGGGTTTGGACTCTAAACAAGAAATTTCAGATGGCAAAGTCTTTTAGACGTACTCAGACTCCGGTCAGACACTCTTTCCAAGCTGCAGGCATAAGCCTGTCACCCACAGCATCCCTCTAATGGTTAGCATCTGCCATCCACTGATAGAACACTGTAGTCTCAGGGTACAAGGAAACAGATGTTCCTGAGGGGCAGAAATGGACTGAGACTCAATACAAGAGTGCCACAAGAAGGTAAGTCTATTTGGTCACCAAATAGAGAGAAAGAGGGTAAAAGATCTAAAAGAAGTAAAAGTCAGTGAGTTCAAATTTTTTCAGATCCTTTATGAATAAATTATGAAAACCTTTTGCAAAACACTGCTTCTCCCTGACTGGTGGTGAACTGATTCTGCCAGTCCTGACTTACACATCACCTGCTCTGCGACAACCCTTTCCCCAGAAGGAGCAGAGTTAGAACCTCGGGTCTGAAGGTCACGTGGCCACCCTGGGGCTGCACCCCTCAAACTGTACTATAACTACCTCCCCAATTTTAATGAGACTGGACAATCTCACCCCCTAGGAACAAAACAGTACAGTCGCCAAGAAATGGTGAATGAATTAAGAATGAATACTTTAGCAAATGCAAGGGAAAGCTTACGATTCCATATTAACAATGAGTGCTAATTAAAAGACCAATGTAGGTGAGACTGCACAATACAATTCTTTAAAATTACTCAAGAGAAAGTGCTTTGCATTTATATTTACTTGTCACAGATGTTTTTGAGAACCAAATAGAAGAAACATGTTTCCTTAGGCTCACAGGAAAGGCCTGGGCTGTAGGGTTAAATAAAGGCTTCAAGTAATTTCCACCAAGTGTCCACACCAGCCTTCACTGCTTGGGACTAACGTTCTGTCCCACCGAGCGGTGTGTGCCCACACTCCTAAGACATCTCCAAGATGGAGCAGGCGAGCTACCTGGCAGGACGTTCTAAGATCTCCAAATTATCCTCAAGTCTAAATTTTACAGAAATTTCAGGAGTGTAATAGCTAATCATGTTACTTTTTGTGCCATAGATTATGACATGAGTGTTTTCAGACTACTGAATTTATTTATTTTTTTCCTCATTGAGTTTATTGGTACATTTTAGGTATACAGTTCAGTTACATTCGGTATTGGGATCTTGTACCTTTACATGACAGGTCTTGGTTCTCATTTTTTCCCCTTGTCCCTGCCCTCCCTTCACCTCTCCTCCCTTCCCCTTTACACTTTATTTCCATTTTCTCATATTTTTTCTTTTCCCTTATTAGCTTTCCCCTACTCTTCCCACTTTCCCTACACCTTTAGCCCCTTTCTTCCTATTTCACATTGTCCATTGTATCGTTGGGATCTTATGTACTATATTATAGTTTATTCACACCAGACTACGGAATTTAAAATTAAAATACTGCCTAAGTTTTGCCAAGAATGCCTCAATAAATTATCGAGATACTCAGACATAAACAGAAGATATAATTAGATATACAAGAGCACTATGTCTTAAATCATTGTCTTATTTCCAATGCATATTACTGCTGAATAGTTAAGTAAACTTCTTAAGCAGGATGGTGCTTTTTTCTAGACCTCCCAGGCATCATCATAGAGGGTGCTGACTCTGAGGCTCCTAGGACATTAACTCGAAACTAGTGAAAATAGAGCAGTATGTGTGCAAAGGAGACCCAGGTGGCATTGCCTGGCATACTTTCAAGTGGCACTTGATTCTATTCTTTGAATAGGTTTTTACCTCTTGTACTGGCATTCTATTTTAATGATAGGAATATGGATAACATGAGCTTAACAGCATGCCCAAAGCCAGTCCTTAGCACTCCCAGTAATTAAGGCAGGTGCTCTAAGCCTGTCTTCAAATCTTCCTGAAAACTCTATAGCCTTGGTTTGGGTTTCTCTAAAGACACAGCTGCTTATTTTTGCAGTTAGTGAGCAAAATAAGTTGACTTAGAAAAGAAGCTCTCTAGGGAAAACATCTTTTTTCCTCCCTCTTTCTTTTATAAACTACCCATACTATCAATAATAAAGGGCAGAATTTTACAAACAAGGATAATAGTTGAAGCTTCATAAATTCATCTTAACATAGATGTACAGTTTTCTGACTAATGAAATAGTGTCAACAATGGATGTTTTACATATGAATCATAATTTTTAAAAGAATATGCAACAATAAGTTAACATATCAGTGATGCAAACGTATGGTATGTGTATCACAGTGGGCTGTTTGCGTCACTGAAAGCTCTACAAGCCTTATACTTTTTTGAAACGTTTCTGAAAAGACCACATTTTCCTCATATGGAGAATACTATAAAACACGTGCTCTAACCTGCTATGAACATCAAACACCAAA